ATATTAAATTACTAAGAGTACATAGGTATAAAGCTTTTAAAACATTAAACGCATATTAATAAAGTTATCGAAATCAAGCAGATCTCTTTTATCTAACAAGAATATTGATAAAACAAGGGATACCTTTTCTAAACCTAATAGATTTGACATTGAAATGGATTTTCCACCAGTATTATAACAATTTACCTATTTAATATACTAAATCTTGCTACTTATCTCTCTTTCAGACTCCACATTCCGATATACTGGCAGTCCTGATAGCCTCCGCTCTCGTGCTCCTATGATAACTCCAGATCTAGAGAGTGGTGTCAAAGTTTGGCATCTGGTAAAAAACCATGAACATGGAGATCAGAAGGAGGGTGACCGAGGGAGCAAGATGGTGTCGGAAATTTATCTGACACGGCTTCTGGCCACTAAGGTATACAAAGTGCAAAACACCTCGGAGATATTTTGCTTTGAATAGACTCACTCGAGAGCATAACCTTTAACTGTGTATTACACAATTATGCAGGCAATGCATATCTGGATTACTTTTGACACAATTGTTTTGTTTATGCTGCATTATAGCTATAGTAACACACAGTTATCTTAAGGATATCTTAAACTGCCTACCTCCTTAAAGCGACTAGGATGCTAAAATCTGTCTTCAAATAAACCCACTTCTGCAAAGAAGACAGAGAATACTCACCTTTCCTGCTGCCTGTGCCCTGAACTCTACTGTTGTGAAGAGAAAGCACCCTCTGAAGATCCTGTTGAAACTGACATTTCTGGGAGTGTTGATTTCCTAGTCATCCATGACATGCTGTGGTTCCTCCTGCCAGGCCCTAGATCACTACAGGATAGAGTAATGATATAGGGGCCATCAGATTGAACTGCTTAGCTCAGAGGGAGATCGGGAAACTGGCACTCCTGGAAGTGTCGGATTCTACAGGATCTTTAGTGGACACTTTGTCTTAACTACTGCAAAAGTCAGAAGCAGGAAAGGTAAGTATGTCATCTCTTCTTTAGGGAGTATACTTGTAAGATTGATTTTAGCAAAAAAAGTAATTTAAAGATGAACTACAAATGGATAAAAATAAACAGCAATTAATGCAGTTACACATTTTTTTGTATATATTTTTTCTTAAGCAAATGTTTTTTAAATGTAACTACTGTGGGTATTTAAATTGTACTTTATATTAGCCTTTTGTAATCTTTTGTACAGTAAAATTCAGACAAGATGAGAATCTTTCACAATATAGGGACTAATCAGACTTTGCTGCTGTGCATATTTGCTGGCAAACAACATTCTGACAGGAAGAGAGTGAAGAGTGATGAGCTCATCAGTTTGCTGTTTCTTCTTGGCTGTCAATTTACAGGATGGGGCATGGAAGTGACCTAGATGTATTGCTCAACTTAATGTAAACAGTAGAGAAAAATATGTTTACCAACTTAGCTGTGCCATGTGTATAACTGTTGTCATGAAATTAATTTTTATCAACCCTGATTCCTGTTCCCCCGGCAGTCATCGCTCACCCTTCTCTCCAAATGGTGGAGTGTCCCTCGGCATCCTCACATCTAATTCAGGTCTATAGGAACTGAATTAGATGTGATGACGTCAACAGTCCTTAGACTGCCAGAACAAAGGACTGAAGAGGCAGCGGGGACCGGTCTAGCAGCCCAGGGCGAGCGGGCAGGTTTGGGGGTCAGGTAAGTAAAACTGCTTTTCTTGCCCCCTAGGCATAAATGAACAGTTAGCCCTTGCAGTGGGGGGTAACCCCACTGCAAGGGTAGTTTTGTAGTTTGCCCGGAGATGGGCTTTAAATATCATATAATCAATCCTAATCAGGTTAAAACACCACAATGCCAAAGTTATGACTATCTGAAAAAAAGATGATATAACGGCAATTTGAAACATCTGACCCTTACTTATAAATCATTTTAACCCATAGGGAACGCTGCAGAAATTTGTGGATGATCTATTTGAAACATTGTTCAGTACAGTGCATCGTGGGAGTGCCCTGCCTCTTGCCATCAAGTATATGTTTGACTTCCTAGATGAACAGGCAGACAGACATGGCATCTATGATACTGATGTAAGACACACGTGGAAAAGCAACTGGTAAGTACAGAGGGACATGAATGCATTAAAGTAGGAACATATGTTATAAGTAAGTCATTACTATAAGCAAAATAAAGTATAACCATTCATAAAACAGGTACAGAGGTAGAAGGGGAAAATGGCTTACTGAATATGAACCTGTTAATTACACTTTTTTTTTTTTTTCTGTTGTCCTAAACAGCCTACCACTTCGTTTTTGGGTGAATGTCATTAAGAACCCTCAGTTTGTGTTTGACATACACAAGGGTAGCATCACAGATGCCTGCCTATCCGTTGTGGCACAGACATTCATGGACTCTTGTTCCACCTCGGAGCATCGGCTTGGAAAAGATTCCCCCAGCAACAAGCTGCTGTATGCCAAGGATATTCCAAATTACAAGAACTGGGTTGAAAGGTCAGTGTGCATAGCCACTGGTGCTACAATGGTGTTTCTTAAAGAAAAAAAATGTAATCTTATCTACTAGACATGTTTATGGCAGCAGAAAGTAAGTTGTTTTAAATGATCATTTGTTTTTCAGGTATTATGCTGACATTGCCAAGCTCCCTGCCATTAGTGATCAAGATATGAATGCCTACCTCGCAGAGCAATCTCGTATGCATGCATCAGAGTTTAACATGCTAAGCGCATTAAGCGAGATCTACTCTTATGTCACTAAATACAGTGTGGAGGTAAGAGATGACAAGTTAGCTAGAACAGGGATTGAATCTGTAGAGATACAATTCAGTTATAGTTTATGAATGTTTGCAAATGAAAACAGAAAAAATGTATTCAGTTTGGCAATATATGTTAGCCTACTAGCTAGTCTGTGTATCATATATATCAATGTTATTCTTACAGAAGTATTTTGGTCTTCATAAATGTAGGTAACTTGAAAAATGGCTGGCCCTTCCTTAAATTCAAATAGTCTATAAATGTTATGTTTTAAAATATTTCAAGGTGTTTTCCAGTTTCAACACAAAGGTTGAAAGTAGGAGTAGGAGCCCTACTCTAACACTAATTTTCTTTCCAGTGTTGCGTACTACTACTCCTAAATATTTCACTGCTATTTGCTGATGTCACCAAATGTATCAACCATAGCAAATTCTGCTGCTCCCCTCATACCTGTAAACATTATCACTGTCCACTCCCCTGCATTAATGGCCTTTCAAGTACTCTGAGATCTTATGACCAGTGTCCAATGCCAGCTGTTCAACCATCTCCCCAACAAATATTCTACTTCTCCTTACATCCATGCTCCCTGCTTTCCTTTAGCATCATGTTCCCTGCAAACAGTCTAGACATTTGACCTTTATTCCTCTGTCTTTCCTGTGGTGTGTGCCCAAAAAACAAAACTATGTTCCTTTCAGACATGAATGTGAACTCCTTTCCACTCTTCTCTCCTCGAGCAGTCCATGTGTTAAACCCTCAGTTGACATAATATATGTATTAGTCCCACCTTTCAGTGTATTACCATTACACCAATCTGAAGTTTGTGTGAGTCTGTGCGTTCGCATCTCTATGCCTATTCTGCAGTGTGTGCAATGACCGCTTTGTTGCTGATCTCCAGATCATGTGCCTCTATCACTCCCCATTACTCACGTAACAATTCACCACAGTGTGTACAATAACCCATTCTTCTCCACTATATGTGTATTTACTCTTTAGTGACCAGTCTACAGGTTATTAATTCAACATTTAATTCATTATTCTCCATAATGTGGGTTAAGCCCTAGGTGATCAATATCCAGTGTATCTGCATTAATACCTTAGTGACTATTCATGTGTTAGCCCTAAATTGACCAGTATTCATGGTAAAGACATAACCTCTTCTGTGACCAATCTCCAGAGAATGCATGTTAAGTCATCACAGACCAGTCTTCCAAGTACATGTATCAACCCCATAGTACTTATTCTTCTTATTGTGTAGATGTTAACCCCGTGATAGCCAGTCTACAGAATATTTGTGTTAATGCAAAAGTGTTCAGTCTGTAGTGCATGTGCCATACCCCATTGCATGTCCAGTCTTTAACGTTTGTCCATTAATCCCTCCAGCCGCCTTTCTCTGGAACTGTGTCTATTAAAGCCTTAGTTTACAGTCTCCAGAGCATTTGTATTTACTCCTCAGTGACTTGTCACCAGGATTTATGCGTTTACACCTTTTGTGACCATTCTCCAGAGTATGTATTTTTTACTTCTAGTTTTGGAATTTAGACACTTTGCTACACAGTACAACCAGAAATGCCACAAATGTTTTGGCAGATATAACACTACATTGGATATCTACTTCTCTATAACATTTACTGACTAACCCTTTGTTGTAGAAAAGCAATTTTTTAATGTACAATGCCATAGCTAAGAGATATTTTATACATTTTGGTTCCCCTTACCTTAAGCTGACTGATTCTTCTTTTTCAGGGGGATTTATCAAAACTGGAGCAGACAGAATCTAGAGCAGCTGTGCATGGCAATCAATCAGCTTTCATTTTCAAATGTTAACTGAACAAACTGAAGAGAGATGCTGATTGGTTCCCCTGGGCAACTGCTTCAGATTTTGTATGCTCCAGTATTGATAAATTCCCCTCAATGTGTATAGTCCATCACCGCAATCATGGACCCCATTTTATACCAGTTTACATGTAGCTTGCCCAATAGAACACCTCGTATATAAGTGTTACACCCTGACACCCACAATGTTCACCCTCTGGACTGACAGTTACATTAAAACCCATGCTTTCCTTTATCTAATCTATATTTATAATTTGTCATGCAATATAAAGCTTTACAATCAAGTCTCTGTAAATAATCCAAAAATGCCTTTGTCTAAAATGTATATATAAGTGCTGTGTACTTTTTTCCAAAGGAGGCTACTCCAAACTGTGCACAGTATATGAATGTATATACAAGTCCTGGATCTCGGGTAGGGTAGTGGCTTCATAATATCCTGTTACAGTTCAGGCTCCTTTTTAAAAATTGGGGTATCGGCTATGAGTGTCTCTAAATGGAGTGTAAGATCTAGTGGGCCTATTTATTTAATACTGAAGGGAGGCATAGGAAGTCAAATCATATGATAGTGTAATTTCAATTCACAGGTGATAGAAATTAAGTACATGTGTTTTCCTAAGCTCTATCAGGGTGTTTGCAGAGCTTCTTTAACCTGACGTGAAGATTTTTTTCCAGGTCATGATACATGTTATATAGGTTACCCTTCATTCAATGCGGAATGTTCTGCAGACTACTGACAAAATCTGTAACATCTCTTACAGCTAATCACAGCCTTGGAAGAAGATGAACAGGGGCGACGACACCGCTTAGCATACAAAGTAGAGCAACTCATAGTGTCCATGAGTTTTGACAGCTGAATTATAGCGCAACCTTACATCCACAGAATGGAGACAGACTCCTGGCAAAGACTTGGATATAGAGCTGCAGGGTTCCCTGGACATTCCTTCCAACTGTGAAAAAGTGAATAAAGCATCAGTAAGTCTAACAGCTGATTGCCTGACAGAAAGGTGGAGGAGGCATCCAAACCTTCTCCATACTCACAGTTCCTTCTGAGAACCTGAAGATATCAATGGAATTTCAGTGAGCCCAGCAGACCCTTGATTGCATGCGCAAAGTAAATTAAGAGACTGCATAAAAAGAAAAGATTCAACTTCTATGTCTGTTGGTTTGGTTTGTTGTTTAACTTGTTTTTTCTGCAAAAGACTATTTTTTTATTTGTATTTATTATTTTTGGATGGGTGAGAAATGTGTTGAAGGATACATTGTTTTTCACCCAAAAAGGAGAAAAAGAAACAGAATTTTCATAAAAGGCCACTCTTGGCTGAATTTGCACTGGTTCATCGGATGACCTTAATTATATGAGTGGGTGATGTACCTCCACTACCAGCTGGTCTACTTGAGAACTTTATAGCCTAAGTTGAAACTGTACTGAGTGTTACTTAAATTCACCAGCTTATTCTGTTATGGATTCCTTGTAGTAAGAGACATTAGCCTATTAACACAGCAAAATGATCAGTCTTTATGAACCTGTAACATACTCTGTGCGGACACCATGGCTTTTTGTTTTCGAAGGAAGCTTTGAGATCCTTGAAGATACGTATAGAGGTTGCTCTTAGGATAACATAATAATGTGCATTAGTTATTAGGTTTGGTTTTTTTTTTTCCATTCTACAATCATTTTAGCACATTCAGAGGGTATCGGCCTAAGAAACTTGGAAGAAAATGTCATGCTATGAATTCCATCTTAATGTGGTCTGTTTAAATTGTTAGATGTAGACCAATGGTTATTTAACAATTTTTGTTACAGGCATGATCAAGCCTTTTTCTTAATAATATGCATACGGTTTATCATAATAACACTATGCATTTTGATCAGTGGCTTATGAACGGAAGCTATCTGCAGTGAACATAAATACAGTACTGGAATATTTCTAAATCTGACAAAGCTAGTACATATTTTTCTGGGATGAGATTATTTTTTCAGTACACATCCGTTGAACACATAAGATACATATATATGAATGCTTATTTTCTTGTTGGCTCTGCTGCAGTGTGTGTTTTCCTTACACCGTTACTAATGTTTTATATGTGCCAAAGGGGCAGTAAACATACCTATAAGTACTATGGTAGCCATATAAATTGACAGGATAAAATATGTTTAACATTACAATTGCCTAATAGGGATCAAACTGGATATATTCCAACCTAGGCAACATAACATCTTTGGTTCCCCAGCTTACCTCAAACCAGGCTAGAGATCAACTAGTTTTTTTAACCTTTTTTATATTATTGACATTAAATCAGGCATGTTTAAAAAAACTGTTCATATAACATGACTTCAGTACAGTTCTACATACTGTGGAATTCATGTACAATCAGTTGTTAATAGTAAAGTCCTGCACCCTGGCAGATACCGGTAAGTGGCAGGAAAGTGAAAGTATGGCTGGTAACATTTTGTTGGAAAACTCATTATAGTTAAGTGCATGCTTGCAAAAAATATTTTGATTTCACTAGGCATGGTATCATAGAAATATCTGAAAAAATCACATACTTAAATACTGGCAAATAGAATGAACATAAAACGACAGCTGATGAAACATGATTAAAGTGCACTTTTGTGTAGACTGTGCACATTAAACTATTTTACATGTTCTTTACGTGCAGTAAAAAAAAAAGGTATAAAACAAGTCATCCCAGACCTTTATAGTTTCTTGCAGGGACTGGCATCTTTCAGCAACTGAACAACGCCAGTCACTGCCAGGGCACATAGAAAACAAATGTTTTCTACATGCCCCATTTACACAGCAATTCAGGGGGTGATCTGCGGTGCAGTGTGGTAAAATATAGACATGCTGCCTTTTTTTAAATCGCACTAGACCAAACCGCAGATCGCTGCAGGGCACAGCACACCCTGAACGATTTAAAAAAGTAAAAAAAGACAAATGTAAATAGTGACAACTCCAGCAGTGTGCCGCCACAACACACTAGCCACTTTGCTTAAACGCTCTGTTTTAGTGGACAGACTAGTGTGAACGGACCCTTAATGTGAAGTCATCTTTTCTCAAATGCAACTTTTTCCCATGTGTCCCATTGTGAAAATGTTTCTTCACCTCCTGCCTCAAGATGCAGGTACCGTGATGAGATCCCTACAAAGTAAGGGTAATCCTATAGACAATTGTCTCTATTAGTGACCCAGTGGCAGATCAAAATTTTAGATTTTCCTCACTTTCATTTGCAGTGACAATGTTCCCAAGCATAAAAAGCAAGGATGAATCAGTACAGTGGTATTAACCCTTCCCTAATCTATCCAAGATGAAACAAATGTATGTGAGTGAGTAAGATGAAGAGGAGGCTCTTGCATAAATGTTATAGGCCACAATTAATTTAAAGGGTGGGCAGCCAATCATATATTATATACTAAAACAAAAAGTCCAAAAATGATTCACAGGCATATTTGTGAAGCAGCACATTCATGAAACATTCACTGCACGTAAATCTTCCATGTCCAATATGCTTTCATATACAGTGAATGATTCCCCACCAGTAAATGTCTATGGAATATCACATTCACTGCTGTTTAAAAATGTTCTTATGTGTTTCCTTTATTTAAAACAAATATATAGCATATTGTTTTATTTTTTGCTACACATTATTAAGTAGTGTGAGCAACGCTTCTTAATATTTTAAAAATGTTTCTTAATATTTTAGTATATTGTAAAAATGTTAATTAGCCAGTTCACTTCCCAGATTCCCCTGCTAATAGTTTGTAAAGTATGTGATATTTTGGGCCTTTGTATGACACCATGCCTGACCAAGCCTAATGAAAAGAACTGATTATTTGTGGAAGATTACACAGGAACATGTTGCATCAGAATTGTCCTTTCCTGTTATTTATTGGTAATGTATTTCCTGAGAACTGTCTTTTCTTGAACTCTGCACACTCCCTTTTTATTATGTTATTGTCTTCTCTGGTGAGACTGTAAGGTCCCCGCTCAACTCTAATGTCACACCTATGCAAAACAAAGTTGACAAATTAGCTGGAAAGCAGTAGGAGCAGAGAATGTAATGTGCTTTTCTTGCTTTCCATTTTTAATTGTGTGAGAAATCTGCTCTTTTTTTATTCCTTCCCCATTAGCTTCTGTGCAGACTAAGGAGCAGTCTCAAATTTTTGGCGGAACTGTTTGCGGTATTATATTTTGCTTTAAAGCATCTTTGCTATGTTCTGCTGCCCTTCATTATTTACAGACACCCTAATACATCATGATGCAGAGGAGTGTCAGGCAGTATGACATGCTTCAGGAAAATAGAATGCTGGTAGCAATGACAAAAACACGAGACTCCTCCTTAATCTGCAGGCTGGAAAATTGAAGAAGCCATAATCGCAGAAAAAACAGAGCAGAGTTTACATGGTGAGGTGGGTAGGAGAGCTTGAGCTCAGACTGGTTCAAACCAAGCAGTATAGCATAGTTTAATGCTGGTTAGGTGATCTTAGTAGGATCTATCATTAAAAACCACACATCACAGTAGGTTGTATGTCCCCATGTTTTGTCCAGTTGTCTATGGGTTTTTGAGTCACTAATCTGGAAAAAAAATATGCAGCAAGTGCAGTTAGAATGAGTCGGAACTACTGGCTGGCATATTTGTTCTGGGTCAGTGGTATAGTATAGTATGATAGTATACAACAAATTAAACAGCAGGCAACCAGCATTTTCATGAGAGGTCAACAGTGGTGTCCCATATATTACACTCACAGGTTTGCTTTATCAGTGAGATATGAGCATGAGCAGGAAGTGAAGCTTCTTTGTGTAATATATTTAGCCGCCCACAGATAAACATGCACACAACATTACAAACTATACATAAACGTATCAAAGTGTGTTAATGTTTTACATTTTTTTGTATTTACATGTCGCTTATATTTATTACATGTAGGTCAACAGGCTATTAAACAAGGCTGTAGACTGCATAGGTTAGCTGCCAGTCCAGCTCTGATAGGAAGTTGAAGAAAATGACGAGAGATTGCTTTAGGTTGCGACATGTCTAATGAGTTTGTCTTCCGAGCAGGAAATTTTAATTGGGCTTCCTGAGTGATAATGAAGACAAGAAACCTAGTTTAGTTCACACAACATGTGCAATATACATAATAGATTCCAGACAGGTAGTACATTTACACAATCAGATTTGTTAATGACTGTCACTTGTCCTAATGGCTGTCATTTATGTATGTGGGTATGTTTACATTAGCTTGTCAGCTGCGATTTCCATTGTTTTGTGGCTTAAGTCATCTTCAGATAAAGATGGCTCATAATACAGTACCCTATACAATAGTATGGTTGGCTGTTAGGGCTTGGATTGATTGCCAAATGCAGCATGTTTTTTTTAAGTACATTACACTTAAATTTGCAATTAGTTTGAGATTCTTCTGAGATTTGTTTGAGCTCCTTCAGAGGTGCTTCTGACTTGCTGCTGACATCCTCATAAACTACATCTAGCCATGTTTGCATTCCCATTGACTTGTACTGGGAGAAACACCATCATGATGCAAACACATGCCCATATGCTAAATTATTTGGTATGGCCATAAAAGGTCTACCCTTAAGTGATTTGCCCAATGTGAAGCTCATTTGAGCACTGAGCTTAGAGTATCCAAATCAACACATTTAACTCATGGGCTAAGCTAAGAACAATGGAGGACCTACCAGAACTTTCAAGTCCAGCTGATTTAAACTGTCTTCCAATGATGGTGTTCTTAGGATGTTATTTTCTAATCCTATGTTTTAGGATTAGAAAATAACATTTTAAAAATGTGGGTTTTTTTTCAGTAAGGTATATATTCAAGACTTAAAATAACATCTTAGGCCCCGTTCCCATTGCGCGATATGCAAATCGCTTGTTTGTCGCGCGATTTGCATATTGCGCGATATCGCGAGAT